TCTACGGAGGGAGCGGGTCCTCTTGTATGGAGGCCGTCATGTTGAATCACAATGTTTCCACAGTAGTTTAGAAGGGACAAACCAAACACTGGCTCTAGATAGGGTATTTTGTGTAATTCGCGCATTTCATGGCCACCGTACTTTCTCCTACTTGCTGAGCTGTATTCAGATAGTTGCAAGCTGCAAGTTCCCCACTAGATACCATTAAATCCTACACACTGGTCCTTTAACGTTCATTTGGAGCTGTGTTTCTGGTCACTTGATGAATTTAAGCCCAATATTCACTTAGTTTTAGCTCTGTTTTTGGTCTCTACCAACTCCTCAGGTAAATCTCTGTCTCTTTAGCTGCTAAATGCTCCTCTGTGTTCACCAGATAGCCACTTACTGTGTCGTTCTGCTGTTTGGTGCTGAGCAGGTAGTGTATAGTAGCTTTTTAGAGCTTTTTTAGATGAAAACAGCTGCCTACTGCAGCCAAAAACGACAGTATGAGAGTGATGAGAAAGAACCAAAACATTAAAGCTGAGGGCCGGACAGATAAAAAATAAACTGAAAGGGGAAGTGCAGATTCATAATACATTGTTATTATAAAAAACACTGATTATAGACACTTTAAAATGTTGGGGATATTGGAATCTGGACTGATGAAAGTAAGTTGTGCTCACTTGTAGGAGACAGTGGCTTTATGTGTGGAGGGCTGAAACCTCCTCTGGCTGTAGGTGCATCCCAGATACGATAGAGGGCATCTCTGCTCGAACCATCCACTCAGAGACGTCTGGATGTCACTGTGGACGTTTCTGGAAAGGAGATGACGATTAATACATTAAAGGTGCTCATAACCAAGCCTTTTGCAACTGGTAAACGAATGAAAAAGAGAAGAGACTTCAAGCTTAGTCAAACAAAACCACATCAGTAGCATTCACACCTGAAATGTGTGGCGAACTCTCTGCGGTGGAAGGTGTGACCACAGAGGAAGGTGAAGACACAGCTGGCTCTGCTGTGTCTGCTGCTCACCCTCTCTTCCTGCAGCTGAAGATGAAGCTTCAGTGGTCTGTCCACCATCACGTCCGCCAGGGTCGTCTTCCCTTTAAACGGAGCCGAGCGGAACGAGTGCGTCTGCGTTCCCACGTCAACAAAGAGCCCATCAGTTCCCTTTGACTCGCTGATCTGCACGGAAAATAAAATACTATGAACTTATTGTTCTCACTTCCTTGGTAACTAGTCAGCATTTTGTTTATCTCATTGTAAAATGTTACAAAAAGTAGCCTATAGTCTACATATTTCAGGAAACACTCATGTTGCTTTACTTAATTCTACTTTCATCTCCCTCATGTTTTTATATTTAATACTGTCATAAATATCTGGCTGACCTTGTGACCCATGACCTCCTTCTCGGCGTGGGCCAGCAGGGTGGTTGCTGCTTCATCGCTGAACCAGTCCTCTTCGCTGGCTCCTAGGTCTGATGTGTCCACACTACGAGGCTCACTTTGAGCCTGTGCAGCCGTGTCGTACAGATGAACCCGCTGCCTGTAGTGATAGCTGTCAGGGACCTTATTAAAGGGATACAAGAGAACATGTTACCCCAGAAGCCAGGAGAGTACACTGAACACATTTGTTGTAAATTTTTATAAGGTCAGGGTGTCTTGTTAATGCTTATTTTAAAGCTGTATTCAGCCACTTTGGAGATTGCATTTGTCAGAACAAGCCAACTGTCTTTTAAAGCAACATTAAGTAACTTTTCTGCCTTAAAATAACAGTTCAAAATCCTTTTGTAATCATAGCAAATGAAGTGGACAGCTGTCCATATTTACGACAGTGGTGTATAAGTGAGTTGTACTCTAAAACTGTAGGGGTGCCAAATCACCAGTTCTTACATAATTTTGCTTTAAAGGCCACTGAAAGGAGGAGATTCACATCAAACGAAGTGCAGCTTACAGGATGTTGGTAACTGTGCTGTGAATACATTAATAGACTCACTCTGTGTCAGCAAAAATACAAGAACCAAAAACCCTTGTTTCGGAGAAACTTCTACAGTACAGTACGGTATAGCCTAAGATATTTTCTCTTGCATTACATCTTGAAAACACCACACTCACACAGATGAAGCAGATTAGCTAAATGAAATACTGATACTTTACTTTAATATTCAAAATGAAATAAGATTTAAAACAAAGTTTTTTTCCAAGGGGCTTTAATGTTGTTGAGTGCAGTTTTATTTGGATGGAGCGCTTCCTTTCTTAAGTATGTTTTAACAGAAGCTTACATCACTTTGGTTGATTTTATTATTTTACACTAAATAAATGTAGCTTGAAAACATCACCTTGAAAGAGCGCAGGGTCTGGACTGGGATGGGCTCCAGGCTGCCATAGACAAAATCCTTTTCCCTCGGTGTACAGGCCTGGATATGTCCGAAGTTGAGCAGCATGCGGCCATGATGCACCACATACATGTTGTACTCCTGCGGGCTGAGGTCTGTCCTCAGACGCTCCAGCACTCCTTCCTGCCACGGGGCAAGCCCTGCCTTAGTTATGTCTGTTGGAGGGCAGTTTTTGGGATCAGCCGCACCATCTTTCCCTGTGTCTTTGTGGTCGGCACATGTTTCTTTAACCCCACCCTCCTGCCTCTGGGTCTTCACCTTCTCACCAGGTTTTGGGTTTTGTTTGGGATTGTTTCGGTTTGCCTCAGCGACAGCACAGCCACCTCTCTCCATGCTGAACATCATCTCAGACATGTTGTATTTCTCTTTGCTGAAGCTGACGTCTTGCCCCACACTGCTCTGCACCGTCTCTTCAACAACGCTGCACAAGTTGTTTCCTGCAGGGGTGGAAGTGGGGAGGTTTACAGGAGAAATGTAAACACAATAGATGAGGGAAGAAGAACAGAAGCCGTATTATTTTGTATATTTAAAAAGATACACTTTTGAAATATTGGTCATTACAAGTTATACCATATATGTGTCTGTAAAGACTTTTGTTCCAAGAATAGTGTATGTTAATAACATTTTCCTGATTGGCGCACATACTGACATCACATTATTGCTGAGCCCCGCCCACTTTAAAATGGTGAGAGGAGCTCAGAGAGAAAAACAATATCTTCTGTGAAATAACCAAAATTTTTATCAATTCCCAAGATTGTGTATTAATGTAGGTCCACCTCACTTATAGAAAAGGGCTGATAAAATATTTACAGGTTTCAGGGTTTCAAGGCCTTTAAAGTGACTCTTAACTATATCAATTACTCATAATGGACCAGGCATAATTTCCCAGAAGAGGCATCTTTTAAAATGTGGTCATCTCATGTTGTACCAAAACAGCACTATAATTTACCTTCATTAATATCGTCGTTTGTGAAACCATTGACAAACCCTCCAGTTGCCGTCTCCTCTTTCTTCTCATCCATTATTTCCTCCTCTTCTGCCTCCATCAGCTCTGGATAGAGCGGCTTCATTTTCAGGCGCCCATAAAGCTCTGACTGATCAACCAGGGCCATGGCGAGATCCAGAGCCTCCCCCTGCTGCTCATTTTCCTTTATCACATTCTCCTGTAGGGCTATGTTGCTGTGTGGGTTTGTGTCATCTGTCGGCCAGCGGAGCCACTCCATGGAGCAACACACCACGCTGGCCGGACACACCTGGAGGTGAGCTGCCTGCGAGGAGCGAGGCAGGTGGACCGGGCAGCCGTACTCAGCATTGAGGCAGGGGACCCTCACGTTAGGGCAGAGCAGCAGGTGATCCTCCTCTTTGCACAGGTGGAAGACAGCTCCACAGAGCAGGCGGCAGGGGATGACTGCACAGCACACAGAGACCTCCACCCGCGCCCTGCAGCGCCGGCTGTAGCAGGAGTCACAGTGGACATGCTGTCGCACTCTGGAGGCTCGAGAACGATGACTCTCTCCAGGGAGCAACACCACCACGCTGTTTGCCGGACACACCTGGAGGGTGACGCTAGCCCTGCGAGAGCGGCATGCAGGGTGGACCGGGCCACCGATCGACCCTCAGCATGAGGCAGGGCGGACCCTCGGTTCAGGGCAGAGCCAGCAGGTGGATCGCTCCTCTCTTGACGAGGTGGGAAGGACAGCCTCCACAGAGCAGCGGGCCAGGGGCAGGACTGCAGCAGGCCAGCACAGAGACCTCCACCCGCGCGCCTGCCAGCGCCGGCGGTGTAGCAGCGGATGTCACAGTGAGCATGCTGTCGCAGCTCTGGAGGCCTCCCGGAGAACGCATGGGACTCTAGAGAAAACGAAAAGAAAAAGCCACTAATATCAGCAGTTTTGTATGTTTTTAAGAACGGCTAATTTAGTGGTTGGAACAGCATCAGGAGATTAGCTGAGACGGGGGGGGAGTACGAGTTGGAATGAGATCGGTGGTGGTCGGCAGTGCTCAGCTGTTGTGTGTTTTTGGTGTAGTTGTTGAGGCTGACCCACTATGGTGTTCAGAAACAGGTGTTGCGAGAGACGGACCAGACGAGATGCGTTGGTAAGTGGAAGAGTCTGGAGAGGAGTTGGTGGTAACGTTTACTAACAGAAACAACAGATATTGGTCGGCTCGAATGTGATGTTAATTTGCCATATAGGAGTGGTAGCGCGAGGGGAGAGAGGAGGTTGGGCGCGACAGCACTTTCGAAAGTGGTTGAGTGGAGGATAGTTCGAGCCGAGTCGAGGAAGAAGTTAGCTTTCTAGTTAAATCGAATCCGACAAACCAAACAGAATGATTGTGCGATAGTTGATAAATTGAGAGTGTTGAATGAGATGCTTTGTAAAAGACGGCGTTAAAGCTACTTTCAGGAGGAAAACTGTCGCATGTTGTTCGGGAGCCTCAAGTTGAGAAATAAAACCGGCGATGGACCGGATGGTGTTCAGATCTCTTGGCAGCGCGGAGGCGTGTTAGGTTTGAAGGCGTGGGAGGGGTGTGTCGCTGCGCGAGAGAGCAGAGAGAGGTGAGCTGGATTGAAGTGCGTCACGCGGTCGAGCGGGAATGACGAAGTGCGAGCGTACGAAGTGGGTATCGGGGAACACACAGATGTGGGGTGAGAAAGCCAGCAGAGTTCTGGGATTATTGGGAAGAGGTGAACTACACGACTTTAGCCGCTACCACTGTAAGAGTTGTGACAAAGCTCCCTTGCCCGCCGTCCTTTTGCTTTAAAGGACCAAAGCTGTTCCTGACAAGTGGTGTGTGTTGATAAATTAGAGCTGAGCACCCAAATGACAGATGAAGAATCTTACACAGGTGGTCGGTAACATGGTTTGGTGGTTACCAGCCCTCTCAGGCCACTACATCAGGAAATCACCTTCTTTTCCCCTTTTATTTCATATTTGTGGTCCTGGGTATAATATGGATTTCAACCTGCGAAAAAGCAAAAATTGAACGGTTGAGTCTTTTGGACTTCTAGGTGTGAAACCAAACACACAGACAGTGTGCCATTTTATGTCACTCTACATTGCTAACAAGAAGAGACTTAGACTGTTTATTCTCCCAGACACATTTCAATTCGATCCCCAGAATGAAAAGAGTTTTTTTTAGATCAAGGTTTTGCCTGTGTGCTTTCGAATCCACTTCCAAGGCAGAACGTGAGAAACTAAGGGGGAGTTATTTTCTCCTGCTTGAAGCGTACCTTGGGTGCTCTGGCTAATTTGTTAACCTTGCCAGTTCAAAGAAGCACGGCGGACCGAACGGCAGAAACACCTATAAACCGTTAGGAGAGGGAAACAACGTCTCTGCGGGTCTGGCACCTTGGAAGATCCTTCTGTCCAGATAAGGTTTCGGATCTCAATTGTGATGAGTTGAAATGCTTGATAATGTCATTTTTGTTCATCCTAAATTGCAGCAGAGTGAAAACAACTCGTAATAACAACTGCTAGAAGTTAAAATACTTTTCAGATTTTTAGTGCTCACTAATGATTACCGTTGGAGCATTTCTTTCGTCAGGACATTTAACTGATGAATGGAGTGGCTTTGGAACAATTTTGTGTTATGCTTCACAGTGCATGAAGGAACAAGTTGTGTGTGGCATCAGTGCAAAACATTGGTCCTGCTGACTTTGTTGGTTTGTGGCCCTTATATCAACTGGTTGCCCATGCCTTGGGGGTGTCAAGTTAGACTTTATACGCGTATTGTGCTCATTTAGGGGGTCAAGAGAGAAGCAAGGGATGACCACAAAGAAGAAAATTACCCAAACAGTTTTGTTGGGGAATGAGACAATTCATGTTGGCTTACTTCGGGCCTCGTCAAGAAAATCATTCAGAATATCGACTTTCTTTGGTTGACATGTGTGGACTGCTGGTTTGATGCTGTATCCATAAGAAGACATTGCTGTTGTTTTTCAGGGGTCACAGGCCAAATATGTTGTGATCCTGTGCTAATGTGATTTCCACTGATTTTAGGCTGATGTTACAGATTATGAAGATATATTGTCAATTTTCTGTTGTTTCTCTGCAGTGAATTATTAAAAACATCTGATTCAAAGTCCTGGTAGAGAAATGGTGAGTCACAGACTTTACTGTGTAGTAATTTGAAACATTTGACTGGCGGGTTGAAGTAAGGATTCAAAGCGAGTTATACAAGCGCTTTGATGTCCACCAATAATGATAATGCCTTATCTCTGCTGACATCTTTCTCCTTAATTATTGTTTCATTCCTAGTTGGCTCCGACTGTTTCTTTCCAATCAGACAACGGTCAC